ATTATCTTTGAAAAGTCACAGCATTTAAAGGAGAGTCCTGATGGCTGGAGGAAAGAAAATATAACTGCCTTCTCAAAAAGGTCAAAAAGGAGAACCTGGAGAACTAGCAGCTGGTCAGATCAGCCTCACCTCAATCCCTGGAAGGCTGATGGACCAAATCCTCCTTCTAATTATTTCTAAACACTTTAAGGATGAGAAGTGATTTAGACTTGTCAGCATGGATTTACAAAGAGGAACTCAGGCCTGACCAACCTGACAGCCTTCTACAATGAAATTACTGGCTCAAGAGACAAGGGCAGAGTAGTGAGCATTGTTAATCTTGACTTCATCAAAGCTTTTGATGATGTCTCATATACCATCCTTACAGGCATCCCTACAGGCAAACAGATGATATGTAGGCCAGATAAATGGACAGTGAGTTGAAAGTTTGCTGAATTACCAGGATTGAAGGGTTATGATCAGTGGCACAAACTTCATCTGGAGGCCTGTAACTTGTGTTGTGCACCTGAGATACTCAACTCTGCTAACATCTTCATTAGTGACCTGGATGTGACCTGGATGATGGGACAAGGCAGTAGGATGATGGCACAAGTTTGCAGACAAGGCAAACTTGGGAGATGAGATGGTTGTGCTGCCATTGAGAAAGACTAACAATCTGGAGAAATGCACCAACAGGAAGCTCATTACATCTAAGAAAGGCAAATGCAAAGTCCTGGAGGTGGGGAGAACCACCTCTTTCATGAGTACAGACTTGGGGACTGATTGTCTGGAAAGCAGCTTTGCAGAAAAGGACACAGGGGGTCCTGGTGGATAAGTTGACCATTAATAAGCAATACGCCCTTATAGAAACTGAGTCCAGCAGCCTCCTGAGCTGCATGAGAAAAGTAGACCAGCCAGCAGGCTGAGGGAGGTAATTATTCCCTTTCCAACTTGGGATATAGTCCCCATTTCTGGGCTCCCCAGTGCAAGGATGTGCACGTACCAGAGCAAGTCCATCAAACTGCCACAACAATTAAAGGATTAGAGCATCTGCCATATAAGGAGAAGCTGAGAGAATTGAGATTGTTTAGCCTGCAGAATAGAAGGGTTTTTCTTGGTTTCATTTCCAGGGAGTTGGAGGAAGTGCATGAAGCACATTTTACTACAAGTGTCACCGAGGAGTGTTATGCAAATGGGCACTAATCCCTTGGATCAGTTGAAATGAATGAAATCATACTTCCTTTATAGGTGATCATATCTATGATCTAAATCTAACTTACGAAACTGCTTCTTGAGTTATCAGCTCAGCAGCTGTGGAATGCTAGTGAAATGTATGTGTGGATGTTTATACGTGACATAAGTTCAGCTACTGCTTTGATACGAAGAACCTATTTTCCTCCTGAGAATAATATGGAATTTCTAACACAAAGGGGAATATACCTTGAAGGCTAGACTGCTGTGGGTGGAAGATGTTGCCATTCTAGCTGCTGTAGGTCGCACCTTTTCTTATTTATTTATTTATTTATTTATTTATTTATTTATTTATTTATTTACCTGCAGATTAATTCTAATGAGATATCTGATAATGCCTGGAAACTTTTTGTGCTCTTTCTGCTTGCACTTTCTACGCCAGGAGTATAAACTTCAGGATTGAGAAGCCTGCTCTCTCTGCTATCAGACTCTCTTCCAAGAATTATTGCTATTGATACTTGTTTGCCAGTTTTTCAGCTGGAGTTTTTTGGATCCTTGTGGTTGTATCTTTGACCGTTTCATTTGATCTACATATGTTGACATCCCCAAGTCAAGAAAACTGAATAGTCTATCGTTCTCTCCTCAGCTACACAGGCAAAGTAAATGCTTTTAAACAGTCACCAGCACCAGCTCTGGTCTGGGTCAGTGGTAAGGGACAGTTATTGACTCAGTCTTTCCATAAGGGGAAGGATAAAGTGAGTAAGAGTATAATAGCTACTTTTTTTTTTTTCTGTGTGTGTTCTGACAGTCAGCAGGCAACTCCGCATTTAAAATTTCTACAGCTTCACAAAAATGGAGTTGGTGGTCCCAGTAGAAACAGTGTGCCCTTGGGGAGATGAAGACTGGGCTGCAGCTAGCGTGCAGCCAGTTGGGATATGATGCCCCCTCTGTCACTCTGATAGTTCATTTGGACTACTGTGTCCAGTTTTGGGTGTGCTACAAGAAGGACACTGACATGATGTAAAAACTCCGTTGAAGGAATATAGTAATAGTCAGGGAGCTGGAGCACAGAACATAGACGGAGAGATTGAGACAACTAGATTTGTTAAGCCTTGAGAAGGTTTAAGGAATCTCTTAGTGTTTAAATGCCTAATGGTATGGTTGCCAGACTCAGAGGTGCAGTGATGAGAGGCAACATATGAGAATTGCAACATGGGAAATTACAATGAGATGTTAAGGGAAAATGTTTTCACCATAAGAGTAGTCAAAAACTGTTACAGGTTGTCCACAGAAATTGTGACATCTCAGATCTCAGAAATACTCAAAACATGACTAGACAAGTCCTGAAGCAAATCAGTCTAATTTAACATGCTTTGACTGGGAAGCTGGACTAGATAACCTCTAGCAGTCCCTTTCCAACTTGCATTATTCAACAACTCTATTATTCTATGATTGGTATCTATTGCATGCCACTGCTCCAGGTCTGCAAAAGCCTTCTCTATGAAGCCAAAGGAGACCCAGCTGTACATGCTCTGATAGGATTACTCCCTGTGGTCATAACTTCTGGACAGCAGTAAACAGTATAAGATAAGCAGGGCAGCCTACTATGGTTGGAAATGAGACGGGGATAGTTGAACTAATTCTGCCTATGTTCAATCAAATTTTAATTGATAATTCAACAGCAGCAGCATTGATTCAGTACTTTATGGATGAGCATTTGAGAGGATGAAGATAGAAAATGAGAGCTTTTGATTTGGATAAGCAAATGTTCACCTCGATGTCTATGCCATTATTCACTTTCTTTAAAATGTTCAATGTACCATATGTTCAGGTAAATGAAGAAACCAGAAACGTACAGAGGGTTTTGTTTGGAGCACAACGTGCCATGGAGCCACAATGGCTCACAGCAGAACTGCACTGGATAGTGCAGTCCCATGCAGGGAGTATGCTGGGGACATGGCACAAGGAATGGCTAGCAGCACTGTGCTTCTCCACTGGCAAGATGCCCAAGAGCTGGCTACATGCCCAGGAAGAAAAAGAATGAACATGTTCAAAGGGAGAATATACCTACAACCTGTTAGCATCAGAAGTCATAGATAAGGAGGAGGCAAAATACAACATGAAAAATAGACTTGCTCATCTGGGAAGCTCACAATTGTCTTGGTAATGCAAATCCCTCCCCAGGAAACTCTTTCTACTCCTAGGTGACTCCTCTTCCAGTACAACTTTTCTATTGTCCTGGTTTTCCTCCTAGTCCTCAGATTCACCCTTGAATGAAAAAAAAAAAAAATAGAATCACCTTTTGAGAATGGGATGTCTATGGCCAGAGGAAGGATTTAATTCATTTGTTGACAAAGGTGCTTCCATTGTTTCAGTCCCCAAAAGGCCCACACTGCACCATTTTGTAGGAATGATAAAAGCCACATTAGTCTGCTTTTTCTTGAATGACAGTTCTGCACATACACACTTTTTCTTTTATTTTTTTTCTCCCCAACTGTCCAAGCCAACTTGGGAGTTTTCAGTAGAACTAGATATGATAAAATTCAGGACTAGATATGATAAAATTCAGTGAATGTGCAGGGTACCTCCCTAGTGGGAGAAAGAGATAATACACGGTGCAGAACTGGAAATTTGCAATTTCCACTTCTAGCTAAATTCAGTGACCGCAAAGCAAAGTTTTATTTCCGATTTTAGACTCCCAGGCATACTGTGGCCCACTTCTCATCACCTGCCATATTCTCCTTCACATTTACTCTTATATCCTTAGGTATTCTATAGCCTGATCATGAGGACTCTGTGAGAGGGGACAGAACCAGTATTAAACAGTCAGGAGTTTCTTCAGGAGGAAAGTTGATTCAGATGTGCTAATACATAGAGAAAAGCTTTAGCTTTTGAGCTACTATGTAAAAATTGGATGACTACACTCTAACCAACACCACTAGCATTATATTATTATTAAAAGTGACTGTAGCTGGTCACTGTGCACAATCACCTAAACTTGCCTACTGAAATCAGGAGACGTAGACTTTGGGTCATTTAATCCGTAAATCTCAAATGGCATTAGGCAACATATAGAAATCCATATACTAAAATGGTATGCAACGTTTGACCCTATTCAAAAAACTGTGACTGTAAGATAGAATGCTTACAATATTTCAGATACCTCACTGAGTTAAATGAGTTTATATAGATTGTTTTTCTTCAATGTGTGCTCACAATCCAAGTTCCACTTTGGTGTTATCATGCATCTTACCATAGGAGCTCTGTAATATTGACAAACTTAGTCCTAAAATTTTATTTTGAGATAGGTGAGAAGTATTATACATAGATTACCATCAACTAGGAAGACACTGAGTGACATCAGTCATTGGCATAATCAATGATCATGCTGAACAATACTGATTCTGATCAGTGGATCACTGGACATCACTTTACTGACAGTTTTATATTTACTGTTATGTAGTTTACTTTTGCTATGATTGTCTATTGTACTTCTTCAAAAGGGAATTTTACTCAAATATGGAAATATATTCAAAGCTACAAATGGCGTTCATTTCATGATTACAAAATTACCTATTATTTTACCTACATGTGCCTGTTTTCTTTTCTGCATTAGGTCTAAGAAGTTGTTGAGAAGTTACCTGATGTCTGAAATGTTAGAGAGCGTGGCATGAAGGATAGCTCCTTTTTAAAACTAAGGGATACTGCTTAATTCATTTGAAGAAATATATTGTATGCTAAAGCTTTGGACAGACTGACATCCTTCTGAGCATTGTGATAGCATTTAGTTTGTCTGATCAGAAGTGCCTAATGTCACTACATATGGTACAATGGAAACTCTAAGACAAATCCGAAGTTTTGGTATTTGTACTACCTGCACAACTGCTACAGCCTCCTGTATGGTGTTCAGTCTTCTGGTTTCCTGCTGCTCATCTCTGAACGTACAAGCCCGTCCATTTATTTCTAATTTACCTTTCATCTCTATCTGGAATGCTCCTACAGAACTTTGTGCTGAAAGGACTGGAGTGCAGCTAGACATGGATTTTTTTTCTCTCACTGGAAGCACATTGAAGACATCCATCGGACAAAACATCACTCTATTTTATCCAGATAGGCTTGGTTACTATCCTTACAAAAATGAAATCACTGGAGAGGCAGTCAACGGAGGACTTCCCCAACTGTCTGTGCTGGATAATCATTTAAAAAAAGCCAAAGAGGACATTCAGTTTTATATTCCTTCAGATGAACAGATTGGACTGGCTGTCATTGACTGGGAAAACTGGAGACCTGTGTGGATAAGAAACTGGGGGTCTAAAGACATCTATAGACAGGAATCCATTGAACTGGTTCAGCAAAGAGACCTAAGCCTATCAGAAGCCGAAGCCAGGACTATAGCTAAAATGGAATTTGAAAGTGCAGCAAAATCAATTATGTTAGAATCTTTAAAGTTGGGCATAGCAATGAAGCCAAATCGTCTGTGGGGATATTACCTTTATCCAGACTGTTATAACTATGATTACAAACAAAATCCACATAATTATACAGGAACCTGTTTAGATATTGAAATAGCAAGAAATAATGAGCTTAATTGGTTGTGGGAGAAAAGCACTGCACTTTATCCATCTGTCTATCTAGAAACAGCCTTAAGATCTTCCAGAAATGCCCGAGTCTTTGTTCGCAACAGAGTTCAAGAAGCCGTTAGAATTTCATATGTCTCTAATTCTACTCATCCTCTTCCAGTTTTTGTATATACACGCCCAGTGTTCACAGATGTCTATGAAGAATATCTCTCTCAGGTGAGTGGAACTAGACTTTATATATTTCAAATTTAGGTGATGTTTACTTAGTTTGTATGCTAACTTGTATCAGAAGAAAAAAAAAAAAAAGGTTTAGAATTTTAAAAAAGCTTAAATTAGCCCACCAACTATATTTGGTCAAACCTAGCACTGAGGGTTTTATTTTCAGACTTTCCTCATAGTATTTACTATAGTGTTTTACTGTCTGAGTAGTCCCTATATTTTGGAAAATATTACAAAATATTACAAGCTATGTCATTTTGATGACGTAGTTTAATTGTTCTTCAGAAATCAAAGAACCTCATTGCTTACCTAAGACTTGAAGTACTTGTGCAAAAATCAATCCATTTATAAAAATCAGACCATAAAAATGTCACATAGACACAAAGACAAAGGAGGTCACAAGTCTTCCGATAAGATGGATGAAATTTAAAGCTAATAAGAAAATTCTGTCTTGTTACACTGCAGTAACTGATATTTTAATATTTCATAGGTTATTCAAAGTTAGGTACTAGTTAAGGTCTAATCATCTTAGTATGGTTCTGACTGCAAGTTCTGCAAGCTGCTCTTCCCAGGCCCAGCCTTGGGCTGCATTACTGAAGCTGGCTACTACCAAACTAGCGTGGTCAGGAGGCAATGAAGCAAAGCAAAACACAACAAAAGGTTGGAAATCAGTAGATGTGTTTATGCCACATGCCTAACCACTGACTCCATTTTACAGCCCTGTTCTTCTAACCAGAAGACATATTTAAATTGGAAATAGTTGGCAACATTTTCTGGCATTACCTGCTTAACTCCATTCCAGAATAAAATAGTGTAATTGAGAACAAAGTGTTTGTATCATAAGTAATTACTTGCTGTTTCAAAGGGGTTATTTTGGCTATATAATTTCCTATGTGTAGTATACCCTTTGTCCTTATGTTACAGCTTACTTACATTAGTGTGATTCTTTGCACATTTACTCTCAGGAAGACCTGGTAAATACAATCGGAGAATCTGCTGCTCTGGGCGCATCTGGAATTGTGATCTGGGGTGATATGAATTTAACACAAAATAAGGTATGAGAGTTAATTTTATGAGGTCCTTAAGGAGCAATAAAATGAAAAGAGTATTAAGCATTTACATCATATCTTTTACTTCAACGACTCCATGCAGTCAACAGACCTATGTCTTCTCTAGTTAATAAAACAAACACATTTCAGGCTTATACAAATTGCCCATGACTAGGCAGGTTAAGATTTTAACTTTTGAATGTACCAATGCTGGTTGTAGACAACCAATTGGATAAGCTACTATGATAATTGGACACAGGTTAGCACTTGTTTAGTTAATTTAAGGAAAGAGATCTCACATTTTCATTGTATTCCAGTTGGGAGATACAGAAAAATTCCTTGGACTTGCTCAAGGCAATTATTCCAAGATCCTTCTTTTTTATTTTAATGTGGTGCACTTAGTAGTACTATTTAAAAGCATTAGGAGGAGTCACACCAGGAGGATTGCAGCTTCAGCTTGCTCTGTGTTTCATTAGGAGTCTGACTAATTCCAGCGTAAAAAGATCTGAGTCAGAAGAGAAACAGAAAAGTAACTTGTTTTAGGAAAGTCAAATATGCAGTTTGAGAAACAGTGTTATAAGGATTTTCAAATAAATCTTTTGAACTAGCTCATTCCTACCCAAGTAAGCTTGATATTAAAAATCTACTGTATGTAAAGCACTTTCACCCTCCTTTGAAGTCTTCTAAGAATTGGAATTCCTCAGCCCTGTTGGGCTTCCTGTAACAGAATGCATGGCCAAATAAAACTGCTGCAGTTTCTTTAATGATCAAATAGTAAAAGGCATCCAACTTGCACTTTTTCTACATGTGCATGGCTTTCAGTGTACATCATGTGCATGGCTTTCAGTGTACATGGCTTTCAGTGTACATCAGTTGTACCTGAAGCTTTTTTTGCATGCTACCCCTATAACAGGACATAGACGAGCAAAAACTTTTCTTGTTCAAATTTTGAGATTTGCATGAGTAAATCGAATTTTCCACATCCCACTGCCTCTCAGCAGTTAAATATTCCTAGAAGCCTCACTTCTGCTTTGTTTGGATTGCATCAAACAAAATTTTCTAGACAGGGATTTTATATATTTAAAAGAAAAAGAAACAAACATCTACATAGTAGTTTATTTACTTGGATGGGATAACGTAATATAATAATTGCTTGGCTTTCAGCTGTTTTTAGCATTCTAAACTTCATCGTGACAAATACTGCAGGTGAGTACTACAAAACACTCAACCCTCCTCAAATATTACATATTCTAACTGCAGTTGAGGTTAGTGAGCAGAGGGCTCTAACACCTTTTGTTAGGGCACAGAGGCCCATGGAAAACACTTGTCTGTGCTAAAGATGGGTGACAAGCCACACTACACCTGAGAAGAGGCTCAAGAATTCCCAAAGCCTCTGATTATTAAGCTGGTCAAGCATATGTAGAATAAACACCAATTGCATGATCAACTAGATGATCTTAACATATTTTTAGCCCCAAATGTTTTGCATTAAAAAATGTGTGAAAACTACTTACTCCTGCAGCTTACGGCTAGTCAGGTCAGGGTAAAATTGAAGAGTCTCACAGAGATGACTTTGTAGAAGAAATATTCATTCAGGGTGACAAGTTTTTTTGCAGGATCCTATCAAAATATTCAAGCCACTTGAAAAGTAATGTTGATCCTTCATATAACTTCTTCGAATGCATCTGATTCCAAATGCTACAAGCAAAGTCATAAAGTGAAAGTTTTAATTCATCTGCTTTCTGACAGGAGTGCTTTCAATAACATCTCCAACAACCACCCCATATAAATTTGCTGTGATCCTTGAACTATATGGCAACTTTTCAGTTATAGCTGAAAAGTTATAACTGAATTAGTTATAACTCTTATCAAAACTTTGAGAGAAACATTTATAGATATCCACAACAGGACATTAAAATGTAAGCATTTTTATAGCTTATTTACTAAACTTTTCAGCTATTATGTTCTTTTTGCAGAACACCTGTAGGACTTTGGACAACTACCTTAGGGGGACACTGACTCCTTACCTCATCAACGTAACCATGGCGGCAAAACTCTGCAGCCAGGTGCTATGCCAAGACTCTGGTGCTTGTGCACGGAAAAAATGGGATTCCACTGACTACCTTCATCTGAACCCAGAGAATATAGTCATTCAGATGACAAAGGATGGAAAATACACTCTACAGGGGCAACCAACATTGCAGGATCTGCAAATGTTCATGGAAAAATTTGAATGCCGCTGTTATGCAGGGTACAGTTGCGAACCTCGAGTTGATGTAAATGACATCCATTACCTCCATGTTTGCATTTCAGAAGAACTTTGCATTCACATATCCTCAAATTTATTTTCTAATATAGAAGCAGCTAGAGAAACGATCCCATCTAACAGAACTATTTTTTCATTTACCTCTCTGACTAAGACGACATTATCTACACAACATGAAATCAAAGATTTCCAATCTACTGTTGGAAATAATATACCCAATATAACAACTACAGAATATAACGTCACAGCTATCACTAATTATGATTTAGAAGCAAATCATACTCGCAGTTTCAGTAGTTCTTCATCAAATAAGATAAGGCTATTTAATTTGTTTTATTTAATTCCCATTTTGAGCATCTTAGTATAAATAACTCATAAAAGTGAGAATGAAATCCTTTTTCTGTGACTTTGTTTGAAATTCTAGTTTTATTTGGATAGAAAAATTGTTCCTAAAATATGTAAAGCAGCTGCGACTCTGTGCTTTTCTCTGTACCAGGTCACTTTTTACACATCAGCTTGAATGTATTTTTTCAGTTTAATTCTAAGCTACTATTTGGACCAAAGGTATAGTGGTCTGTATATACTGCGTACACTGACAGGATAATCTAGAATAATGAACAATTTATAACGGTTTATTAAAAAACATATTTATTCATAATATAATTTTGTATCCTTCAAGTTAAGCCAGATAAATCTATCTCCTTTTGGATTTAAGTGAGTTTCAGTTGTCAACTTGCTTGGTGCTCTATGTAGGAATGAATTTCATTCCACCTATATATTAGCTCCTAATAATACCTGGCTTAACGTTAGACTTGTGGGAATTTTCAGCATAAAATTTACTCTTAAAACTTTACATAAGCTTAGTTTAAAATCTTACTCTTTTTTCTACTTTTCATAGTATCTGTCAAGATAATTTGTGTTTTTCCTCTAATTGAACATATTCCTAACTCTTAAAAAGTTTCTAAGCTTAATGTAAATGTTTACATCAAACACCAAAACTTCGTTGTTTAAGTTTTTAACTTGGTATCAGTTACTCCTTCCTTCCTTACTCCCTTCTCCCAAGCCTTCCTGTTTACGTCCTCCTTGGCTTTCAGTTGTTTTGCCCGACCAGCGCTCACAGCTCCTCATCTGATCTACCTCTTCACTCCCTACGAGCACTGGCCACCAATCCTAGTTTCCCTGTTCAGTCACATCTAGCAACTGGATCTGAATGACCCTCTCAGCACCAGCTGGACGCAGAGTTAGGGGGGTTTGAGAAGGTCTGGATGCGGGACAGTCTTGATGCCTGCCTGGCTATTTCCTAACCTATATATTTGGTGGAAGTCAGTTTGTTTCTTAAGAAAACTTAACAGTGGATGCAGCACGATACAATGATGCTGGGGACCATGGGACTCTTTCTTCACTCCCATTGCTTGGGATCCAGGACAGCTCAGGATCACCTTTCTTTTCAGTTTTCCCCACAGAACCTCAAAGCGCTCCCCCTAGTCCACAGAAAGCTGTGTTCTACCCAGTTCCCTCTCTGCAGGGAGCACTGCTGCACACCGTAAGTGAGGGAAGTCAGGTAGACATCGGTTCACTGTGAGGGAAGTCAGGTAGACATTGGTTCACTGTAAGGACTGTGTAAGTGGCAGTATCCATCCCTGGAAACAGCAGTGAAAACAGCAAGATGAACAGCATCAAGGGCCAGGCCATGCCACCTACACCACAGAGCAGGATGCGGAATAGAAGTGTAGCCCACATTTGCATTACAAATAAAAGACAAGAAACAATCTGGCATATTAAATAGGAAAAGGCTCCTCAGAGAAATAAGTCACTGAAGTCTAGGATATGTCAGTGCATCTGCTCTTAACTGCAGCAGTTGAGTATTCACCATAGTTTTGGACTATTTGCTTAGAGCTTGTTGCCAAAAGCAATGTTAAAGTAGAAAAGACCTCCAAAGCAAACTACTCCCAATTTCTATTGAGCCCCATTATGTTTTATGTATAGTCAGTTTAAGCATTTAGAATCATTTAACTGCAGTTCATTCAATAAAATAATCTTTATAAATTTGTAATGTTGAATACCTAATAGAGTTGACATCTGATGGGTAAAGAATGGCTGCTGGCACGGATGGTTTAAAAATATCCTCCAAGAACTAGCCATGATCTTCCCACAGATACAACTTACTTCACTAACGGAACTAATGGAACTATCTATCATTTTGACATAGCAGTCCTTTATTTAAAAAAAAAAAAGAGGGGGGGGATGTCTAAATTTAGCAGAAAACACACATCATAATTCCTGCAATCCATAGCCTTCAAATTTTCAGGCTGTCCATCCTAACAGACATGTGCAGAAAAAGACTTCAGATTTAATATGGAGAAATAGCATTTTTATGGCCTTTGAGCAGCAAGTTATCAAGAGGAAGTGACAACCTTCTCATTGCAGTTATGGTGCCAAAACCACAAGTCAAAGATATTTCTTCCATCAATATTTTGAGAACTATGAATAAAAAAACTATATATGTAGTGGGCTGTCTGGCAGAAAAGAAGTCTGCTGTTTTTGATCACCTCTGTTAAAAAGAAAAAGCTTCTCCATTACAGCTTTGATAAGGGTTATTTGACCCTGGCTAAACACCAGCCATGACTTGTCTTCAGCATGATTCCTGCATCTGAGGTTCCTCCTTTTCGCACTGGATATGGGATAGCTATCAAAAGATTACTGAAAACTGGTAATGTCACCGGTAATGTTTTCCCCATACTTCCTGAACATTCAGACTTACATGAAATTTTATATTTCCAGAAGAAACTCTTTACCATAGCTAAAATTGTATGTTAGTTTATAGAGTTTTAGTTCAATGAATGCTTGCTTTGTTAAGTTACATATTGGCAAGATTTCTTGAGCTTGTTTGTATCCAGCTCTTTGAAAGACACTAGATTTGCAGTACTTTATGGTAAGGGAATTTGCAGGAGTCTACAGGTCTTGCCCTAAGTGTTTTTAGTGTTTTTTTTTTTGATTGTCAACCAAGTAATAAAAGAAGAGGTGTAATAGAGACCTAAGACCTCCTAGTGGTTGTAGAGGTAGTGAAGTAGAAGTAGTGGGCAGAAGTAAAAGACTGAAGCAACAGGGGATGTATATACAACAGTCTCTTCTTCCGCATTTTCTATCTACCTGGTACTTAATACCGACAACCTTTCGCCAAAGTCCCCCATCAAGACAAAGGACCACAGTAACTGTGTGAGATGAGACCCATTCGTCTTATCCCATCTCTCTTCCCAGAGAGCTGCCAGGGCAAGAAAAGAAAAAGGGAAGTGAAAGATAGCAGCCAACTCTAACAACCAGTCCACAGAACATCATCTTCCTAATCTCCATCCAAAAGCAGCTGTCTTGTGCCCTACTGCAGAACAGTTTCTATAAATGCAAGTGCAATGCTTTACCAACCACTCTTTGTTGTTTTATTTTTTGGTACTTACATTATCTACCTGTATCTGCAATTCCTGTTTTAAATCTTACCAACTTTGCATCATAGTGAGTCTCAGGCCAGCTACATGCTGTGTAAGATACTATCGCTATCCCAATATTTTATTTTAATAAGCAGTCACCATGGAATCAGCAGGTAATGAAGGAGGGAAGGAGGAAGGCAGATATACACCTTCCATTGCTGGTAACTGCCTTGTGTTCAAAGACAAACTCATTTTCTCCTGAAACAGACAATCAAAAAAAAAAAAAAAAAACCCAACCCTTTCCTTCCCTGTATTCTTGTGTAACCATGACTTGTCTCTGTAGCCTTATAGTTTGTTTCTTATGTTCTTGCATTTTTTAAAAGATTAAAAAACAGGAATGTTCATGTCCCTTTCATTACGGTTCATCATTTTGTACATCTCCCTTCCAGGCAGAATTTAAGCTGGCAACAGTTAGGGACAGAGGAATGCTAAAATGAGTTTAATGAAGTGACACAGTCTAGAAAAAGAGGTTCAGCAACCTTCACTACACTCCTTGAGTGTGTACAACTTTTTGTTATTTTTTTCTTACAATTCTGCTATTCAATTTGAAGAATAGGGACCTGGTTTACTGTGCTGCTTATTATGGGACTTTTAAAGATACTGGCACTTTTAATAACGATGGCTGTTGGCACTTCAAGAACCTGAATAGAGGTGAAATTGTAGTCCATTGCCTGCCTTGCAGTTTCTTGTTTTTCTGTATGAAAATAAAAATGTAAAGGGAGAATTTTGAGAGGCAGGCTAATAAGACCATTTTGTAGATTCCTAGGATGTGATTAGCATCTTAAGAAGACCAGAAAAATTTCCTTTAATCCCTATCACACGGGAACACTCTATTGTATGGTATACACGTCGGCAAAATGTGGTGAAAGATTTCAGACCCATATGATACACATCTGACAACCCCCAGACACAGATTAGATTTGTACATGCACTTATCCATCATATTTCAATACAAACAAAAAGCAAAGGCAGTTGCATAAGTTTAAAATACATTCAAATATACTCAATTGTTGACGACATTTTTAGGACAACCAAATTCTCTCTTTCAAACAAAAAAAAAAAAAAAGTTATTTCAAAAAATCCAGAAAACTCTAAAAGTCCACTAAGTCTAAGTTCTAAATATTAGAAAACATTATAAAAGCATTATTGTTTATTCAATTTCCCCAGACCTATAGTTTGCAATAAATACTTATTCAGTACACTGGTGCTGTTAGTGTGATGGAGACCTGCTTCTTGCCTGAAAGAATGTACATGTATCCACAATTTCTCTGTTTCATGTCCTGCATATAAAATAGTGTGCCAAACAATCACTATCTTTACTAAAAAAGGCTCCATCTTTCTAAGAGAAATTTTTTTTTTGCTGTTGTTCTTTCTGTGCATTTTTGTTTATTTGCCTGTTTCCTGTCCTACTGAAAACGAGCTTATAGCTTGCTGGAAACAGAAACAAAAAGCTTTTTGGTCAGACTTCATCTCTTAGCACATCTGAGCATTTCCTGAGAAGTGATGAGCCTGAATTGTTTTGTCCATTTTTTTTTCTGGAAATACTCCACTGAAATTTAACCCAATATCATGCTATTTGTCTTTAGGATGAAGGCTAGTATACATTCAAAAGTATCCATAAAGTATTCCAGAGCAGTCCTAAATTTTTGTTTACCCCAGTCAGGGATGTGGGTCTTTTAGAACAGTTATTTGGTGTAAGCACTCTGGACCTTTAGCAGCTACTTTCCACTGTCAAATAGTGCGTCCTTGGGGACTACAAAACCTTCCAGCAATTGTCACCTCATTACATATGGTAGAGTAAAAC